AAAAAATGGACCCCCCCCCTGCAAACGCCCCTTTTCAGCCCACCCCCCCGCCCCTCCACCACCCCCAACAACCCCCGCCCCGCAGCACGAGGCGCCCACGCGCCGCCGCCCGCCCTTTCCCCTCCACTTGACCCACCCCCCTCCCACGAACACAGCGAGGTGGCACAGCCAGACAGCGCGGCAAGGGGGCGAGGTGCGGGGCGCTCACGCGACGTCCGGGTCTCCCTCCACGCTGAGTGTGGCGCCCTCCCAGGTGAAGACGGCCACGGCCTGGCCCCCAAGGTTGACGCGCTGCCCCAGAGACAGCTCAGCACCAAACACCTCCGCGCTGCCCCGCTGCAGCTGCGTTTGGGGGGGCGAGTGCGTGCGTGTGTGTGTGAGTGTGTGTGAGTGTGTTTGTGTGTGAGTGTGTTTGTGTGTGAGTGTGTTTGTGTGTGTGTGTGTGCATGCGAGGTGCTGTGTGTGTAAGCGTACATCGTATGTGAGGGTGGAGGACGCAGAGGGTCGCTCGCACCCCCGGCAACGGCCGTCCCCAATCACGGGTTCGCTGCCGCAGCAGAGCGCCCTCGCGCTGCCGCCCCCAGGGAAGGGACCGCTGCTGATCAAGGGGTCACCAACAAAAGCTTCATGCCATCGCAGCCGCGCGCGGCGCCCTCACCGACACGAACACGTCCTTGCCCTTGGCCACCTCCAGCCGCAGCTCTGTGAGCTGGGTTGCGTTGTTGAGGGGGGCAAGGCCGGGAGGACGGGTGGCCGGGGCGGGCGGCGGGGGGCGGGTGCGGGAGCGCTCGATGGGCCCTCAGGTGTGCGGCGCCGCATACAGAGGTTTGATGCATGGGCGCAGCGCACGCGCTGCGGCGAGAGGAGGCTGCCAGCGCGACAGCTTGCAGCCTTTCGGCGCCCGGGGCACGGGCCGTGGGGTCGGCCAGGGACTTGGCTGCCGCTGGCGTGCGTTCGCATGCTGGCGCACCTTGTTCAGCTTGTATTCCGTCATTGTTGCGCGTGCCCCGGCGGGCCGCGCCGCCGCTGACGCGCCGCTCGCCGAGAGGGCGGCCCGCTGCTGCTTGGGCAGCGGCGCAGCGCCGCGCAGCACAGGTACGCTGTGGCTGCCGTCACCGCACGGTCAGTTACAACAAGGTCGACTGCAGTTAGAAACTAGTTGATTCAGTTATATTATATCTTGTGCCTCCACACGCAGCAAAATTCTTTGTCCAGCGACAGTGACAGTGACAGATCAGCAGATCGCCTTGGTGACAGTGACACGTGTAAGAATCTTAATAAGAATAGGTACTCTGCCAGTAGTCACAAGAAAACAAAGCCAGCCGCAAGGTGGTAGGGCTACAGCAGATCAACCCGCCGACCGTGCAAAAGGTGTTGACGTCCTTGACGAGCCAGTTGGTGCAACCACTTCTTCGATCAATGCCGACGTGTTGTGTTTGTGGCACATTCTTTACCTGATTCTATCCCAACCTCTTCTTTCGAGTCCTCATCAGATCTGACCACAATGCAGCTCCAGCAGCAGCGTGAGCCTGCCGACAGGGGGCGCAATAGCCAATGATCATGCTGGAAATGTGTTTGAGTGGCCACTCAATGCTATTTGTGGGCGCTAACCCGATCCTGTGGCGCACCCGACACATTCACAAATCAGCCATTCGTCCCCGCAGGCATGGCCCGAGGCTCCTCGTACGCTGGCAAGCGCGTGGCCGTCCCCACGGCCCCGCGGCGCGCCGGCGCGCCGCGCCGCGCGCGCACCATGCCGGTGGTCGAGGCCAGGAAGGTGGCGGTGCTCGGCGCCGCCGGCGGCATCGGCCAGCCGCTGTCGCTGCTGCTGAAGATGAACAAGCTGGTGACGGAGCTGTCGCTCTACGATATCGCCAACGTGAAGGGCGTCGCCGCTGACCTCAGCCACTGCAACACGCCCGTCCAGGTGGGCACACTGGGCCCCGCCTCGCGCCGTCGGAAAGCAGGATTCGCCACCGCGGCTGGCCAAACCGCCCTCATTGGCGATGATGGCGACGCGTGAGACGTCATCACCAATGAAAATGTGCCGCGTCATTGCGCGGGTGCTGGCATGCGGGCACGCCGGCCGCCGATCGCAGGCGGCCAGGGGCGCGCAGCCGCCCCACAACCGCTTGCGGCCGCCCCCAACCGCCGGGGCGCCGCGCGGGCGAGGCTCGAACTGCAGTCGAGCCCTCGCTTTCAATAACACATCACTAATCAGCACAATAGAGCAGCACGATGCACCCAGTCATCATGACGCCGCCACAACCCGCAACTCAACAACCGCAACGCCAGGTCACCGCCCACACCGGTGACGCTGAGCTGGAGGCCGCCATCCAGGGCGCCGACCTCATCGTCATCCCCGCAGGCAAGCAGCTGCTCAGTAGCTGCCGCGGCGCGCTGGCTAGGCGTACCGGGGCGGCGGGCCACCCATGCAACCGGCGGGCAGGGGGTGGGGGTGCTGCGCGCAGCTGTGTGGGCAGAGGCCCTTGCGGCGGCCGGGCCATGAAGGTGGCAGCTATGGTTGGTCCAAGGGACCGCAGCGCAGCGCAGCACGGCACAGCCCGGGGCGGCGATTGTGCGTGGTACGCAGTGCCGCCTGGGTGGCTGATTCGATGCGCAGCACACCACGCCGCGGGCGAGGCCGCCGCGGCGCTC